TGGCTTGGCAGGGTTCAAGATGATACGCACTGGTTCAGCACTCAGCATGTGCCCCACTTCATTTGCATGGGTGGACCACAGCTGTGGAGGTACTCGTGCCAACAGTTCCTCTTGCAAGTAGGAAGTGTCAGGTTCAGAGTACTCCTGGGTTAGCAAAGCCACAAGCTCAGTTTCCCTATGTTCTGGTACCTCAAGGTAAACACCATCTGGGCTACAATAAATCACGCATCCCAGTTTACACAACAAATCCTTACCAAGAAGGTTGACAGGTGCACAGGGGCTAAGAAGAAAGGCATGATTTTCAGACAAAGGGCCAATAGAGATGGAGACAGGTTCAGAGACGGGATGTGGGATAGGTTGTCCGCCTATACCGACAGCATTTATAGTTTCAGGAGAATAAGGTAGAAAAGGAAACTCAGCAGCCTTTAGCGTGGAGCGGGATGCTCCGGTGTCGACAAGACAGGAGACAGGTTTACCAGAAATAAGGCATTCAACAAACGGACCAGATTGGTCAGTAGCAAGCAAAGGAGCGATGATGTCACTGTCCCTCAGGCTGTCCTATTCAACACTGGGAAAATTGACAGGAAGTGGAGGTGGGGGCAGGGACTGGGGTCTGGGTCCTTGGCCGGGGCGCTTGGGGCATTCTGATTTCCAATGTCCTTCTTGCTTGCAATAATGACATTGGTTCCCATAGCCTGGGTTTTGTGGGCTCAAGGATCTATCTCTTCCCCTGAATCTACCCGGGCCTCCCCTTCCCCGTCCTCGTCCCCTTCCTCTACCTGGACCCTGCAACTGAGAAATCTGTAAGGCCATTAACTTAAACTCGGCATTGTCTTTAGACCGTTCCAATTTGTTATGAAAATGGTTAGCCGCAGCAAGGACTTCAGTCAAATCTTTAGTTTCCCAGCCAATAATTACTGTTTGAATTTTCTCAGCAATTTTAGGGTTAAGTCCCTGGATGAATGCTGCCACTATTGCTTGTTTAGCATTTCCGACTGGGTTATCCATTCCTGAGTATCGTTCAAATGCCTGTTTGAGGCGTTCCAAATAGTCACTGGGGTGTTCATTTTTGTTTTGTTTACAGGTATTTATTTTGGTCCAGTCTGCCTTTTTTGGGCAAATTGTGAGAACTGCCTGAACCAAAGCATTTCTCTTGTCAATAAAGTCTTGGCCAATCCCTGGGTTTTGATCTGGCCAAGTACAGGCAGCATACAGACGTAGCATAGTTTCCTTGGGCAAAATCGATCGCATGAGCTGATTAATGTCAGCCCATGTTGGATTATAACAATTTATAACAGTCTGCAATTCTTCCTGAAATTTTTCTGGGTCTTCCCTGATTTTGGGGAATTTTTGAGTTAAATTGTAGAGATCACCTGGAGTCCAGGGTGCATGCACGGTTACTATATTTTGTCCATCGGTGCCAATGCCTGGCATTTGTCTTAGGGGGTAAACTTGTGCAGCTCGGGATCTAAGATTGATGGGAGATCTTTCCATGCCTATTCCCATTCTTCTAAATACACCTGTGGTGGGTTGTGACCCAGGAGTAAATTGCCACACTGGTGATGATTGAGTGGCAGATATGGTGGATGAGTCCAGACTATTAAGCTCCGTGGATGGATTTACTGAAGGAGCTTCAGCTAATGAGTTACTAGCCTGGGCTGCAGCCTGATGTTGAACCGGTTGTTGCTGATGTGGGAGTCCCAGGAGAGCAGGGTTCGAACAAAGGTCAAGGATATCCTCTGCTGGCTCCGGTGGTGGGGGCGCCCCGGGCAATGCTGGATACATCGGAGCGGTGGCCGGCGTGTAATTTGGGGGAGCAGCCAATTTCTCCCGAACAGCTTGTAACTGCTGTTTTAATTTTTCTTGAGAGTCTTTTAGGCTCCTAGTTTGAGATTCTGTCCGCCTTTTGGACATTTCATCATACCAATAAAAGAACGCGTCCCACTGGTTTTGTGGTGTTTTGGATCCACGGGACTCTAAAGCCCCTCTTAAGTGCACTATTTTATCCTGATCAAATGTTCCTTCTTGTGGAAAATGCTTCACAGGATCATCCCTAGTATACCAGTTCCACTTATCCAGGTACTTGCAAGCCTCGGGAGAATAGTGTGTGTACATAAAGTACGCCGGAGTCCCCTTAGGGGGGACGGGAACTTGTTTAGACTGACTCGTTCCCATTTTCAGTCACACAGGGAGACGTAGGAGAGGCTTATTTAGGATGTCCGGGCCGCTCAGTGCCTTGCCCCGCAGTTTTTCACTGCCCAGACAAAAGGCTTCTGACCCGACACCGGCTCATAAAATGGAAATGGGAAGGGAAACACAAGAGGAATCCTTTCACTCCTGCTCTCGGCAGAAGCTACTGGGACAAGGGGTTTGGAAAAGACAAAATCACTCAGACGCCCTGTCCACTGGGTCACGAGGTTTCAGCTGGGCCCCCTTGCTTTCGACGCTACCTTTTTTAGGCAGAATCGGGGCGGCTAGACCCAGCCTTAGTCCCAGACCTGGTCAGTGGCTCATTTTTCTAAATGCACACACACACATTTATTCAATCACTGGGAAGCCCTGTCCACTGGGTCACGAGGTTCCAGTTGGGCCCCCTTGCTTTCAAAACTGCCCTGTCAGGCAGAATTGGGGCGGCTGAACCCAACCGTAGTCTCAGACCTGGTCAGTGGCTCATATTTCTAAATACACACACATGCACATTCATTCAGTCAGCCAGACCTCCTCCCCCACACCGCCTTAGTTAATTAACGACAAGCCCGATGTGCTGTAGGATGAAGGTGCTTCATACAGTTTCTCCCTAAATAAAACGTACGTTACCAGACACAAAATGGGATCCTTTACCAGACAGAAAATTTTAGCCGGCAGTAAGGTTCAGACTGACCTGTTTTAACAAGGTTCAGATCCAGTTACCACGGCCAAGTTGGGAGCCTACAGGCAGTCCTCCTCCGAAACCCCAATAGAGATTTTGAATTAGGTCTCTTACCTCTCAAGTTTGGCGCCTCGGGGTTCGGCGGGGGGCAGTCTGCGGTCTTCCTTTCTCAGCCTGTGTTCTGGATCCGAGTCACGGCACCAGGAATTGTCGTGGAAACACATGCAGCATACTTTTGGGTCAGGTCAGCAGAAGCTTTTATTCAAAAGAAACTACAGCTGTAGGGTGGACTCCAAAGTGACATGGATTTCCCAAGCACTTGGAAGGGGTTCCCCCCCAAGAGCAAAATCAGGAGGCTTATATACTTTTTAACAGTTGCTTACAACTCACGTGATCATATAGTGAAATTAGCATGAAAAGCGGCTATAATATTACTTCATTATTTCTTTGCTGTAATCAGGATGGGAACTAATGGGGGAGGCGAGGTTAGTTCACAAACCTCCTTCTTGCACCTGCAAATCAGATTTGTACATACTTTTTTGCTATCTTTAAGGCCGCGGTGAGCGAAGCAGTTGCAGAGGAGTTACAAAGAACAAACACTTTCTCTTATCTGTTCTACTATACAGAGCCAGCAATTTTCCACAAAGCGGTTATGTCATCTTATAACTAAAATAATCAAAGTTTAAGGCATATATTTTTTCTGATTCCACACATCACAGACAGATTTTATTCAGACTGTATCATTTCTACAAGCCAGAACTATCTAGTGTCCACACTGAGCAATTTGCAATGTCTGTTTGAAAATGAAAACTTCCCTTAAAGTGTGTTCAAACAAAACTTGTGATAGTTTTGTATGTTTTGAAGACAACATTACATTTAGAGGTTGTCATGCAAGGATCAAATGCCCCTTTTGAGAGAGAGGGGAAAGTTCTTTCTTGGGACTCCCCAAAAAGCAGTTTTATTTGGTCTCCCTCTCCTAAGAGGACCCCTGCAGATAGCCCTAGCATGGCTTCACAAGGGGGAAGTCCCTGTCTTTGAGATCTCAGCTCTTTTCAGTCCCTTCCCTCCTCAGCGATCTGTGGCTCCTTTTTAGTCAGCTATTGGGAAGGAGGGAGTGTTTTCTTTTAAAGAAGAGGGGTATTGGAGTGCCAGTTGTCTCCAACCAAACAGCAGACTGTTGAGAAACAGTCTTTATTGGGCCATTCCAGTTCCCTCTGTCCTCACTCGGACTTTACTTTACTCTGCCCACCCTGGGACCTTCTTCCTCTCTGGCTCTCTCCCTGCCTCACTTCTTCCCCTCAAGCCCAGGCAGCCCCACTTGCAACAAAGCAGTTATAAAACTGTAGTTTTAAGCTCGGGACCACTTCACCCAGTACAATGAAATATTACATCATGGGGAACCAAACAGAGAGCAGTTTCAGTGGCTTGGTGTCAGGCCTAGACTGCCATCTGCTCTTGGAGTGAAAAAGGCACATAGATGTCCTACTTAGGGAAGTATTCACAGTAACATATGCTCGCAATGAGTACCATGTTCCCAACAAGAACTGCAGCCTAGAACTTAGCCCACTTAGCTTCCTTCATCACAGAGGTATTTGAGCAGTGAATGGAATCATTTAAATCTATATAGAAAGATCATTAGCGAGAGATGCCCACATTCCCAGTCTGACAACTGCCTATGTCAGTACATACTAGATATTTCCACCCTTTGTGTGTCTGTCAGGAATATGAAAATAAAAAGGACTGGAAAGAGAGCATAGAAATTGAAAATAAAGCAAAACAAAACAAAATGTGAATCCACAGATCTACAGCTCATTTAGAAAGTGATGAATTCATAAACACACTTTAATGATCCAAAACAGAGACATGCCTGAATTCCTTCATGCCGTGCTCTTGTTATGTTATGGCTGGGACCTTTCTAAACACATAGCCATTCTCATCACAAGTTTTATTAATTCAGACTTCATCTTTTCCCCAGGTTATTTTCAAAGGCGAAAAAGGAAAAGGGAGAACTGGCGACATTGGACTGGATGATGTGAGCTTAAAGAAAGGCCACTGCTCTGAAAGACATTAGCAATGCAAGTCGACTGGCAAAGAACATCTGTTAATCTCCCCTTTCCCCTTAATCCTACTCCCATCAAGTGCGTAACCCCCCTCCCCTGATCCTTTGGGCAAAAAGGAGAAATATTTAAAGAGTGACCACTTTTTGTTTGCTTATTTTGTGCAATCCTAGTGAACTTCCACTTATATAATGTCTAAGGACACAAACTCCAAGCCAGTATTGGATGCTGCCGTTAACTTGTTCCTGATCATTCCATGCCTACAGGATGATCATATTGAAAGTCTTCTCCCCACACTTCTTATACCCCATTAAAGGGGCAAATTGTAGCTAAAGGGTGTATTTACACGAGACATACTGCGTATTGGCCTAATAATGCTGAAGTAGCGTGTCATGACAAAAACTGTGCTAATAGTCTACTGTGCAGTTATTATTAGGCTAATGCACACTAAGTGTAACTAAATAACCATGCACTGGTGCTACTGCACAGTAACTTTAGGTATTACACATTTAGTTTAGTACTTTATTGAAGAAGTACTAAACTAAATGCATAGTAATGAATGTGTAGACGTGCCCAAATACTACTAAAAGATATCACCAGCTCAGACAACAATGGTAATAGCTGCCATTCTGTATTTCCCCATAGTGCTGCTATTTCAGCAATATACAATTAAATTGATTTGACTTCATAATTTGAATCTAACTCAGGCCTGGATACGAACTTTGGCTATTTTACTGCCATTGGTTTTTAAAGAAGGGTTTGTTACATATCAAGTATCATTTATTCTGATACTGTATCCATATTAACAATAGGTAGTTTACATAAAGTAGACACTACATCTCCTTAATATTGCTACTGCTGTTTTGTGTAAATGTATATGGTTAACGTATTTATGTTTTTAATATTTAGATTCTAGTTGTGAGGTAAACGGCAGCTGTGCTCTCAGCCTAAACTACAGTATATGTGAGCACAACGTGTTTTTTGACCCTCTGTGTGTGTCCATTGATAAATCAATAGTGATTTGATGATTTCCAGACAGTATCTTTTTCTCTAAATAATAGTGCAATTTTTTATATTATAAGATAACTGCAAGCAAGAGACTAGATCCTCAGCTGATGTGAATTGGTAACTCAGTAAGTTTCAGTAGTATTACACAAATGTATATTAGCTGATGAGCTGAGCCAAGAAAGTCCAGTCCTGTCAGGTCTAGCTCACTGTCAATTCTCAATGATCTCCCTGGGAATTGAAGTGCTGATTTTGAATTTATCAAAGATCAGTAGGATGGGCCAAAGCTTGTGCTGATAGTAGCAGCCATTGTCATTGACTAGAATGATTGTCAGGTGTTGAGGTCCCCTCTAACCTTATGATTCCCTGATCTAGACAACATAAGCAACTCAGTGAGTTGCCTGCTTTAATATTGCACTAAGAAGAATGAACAAATGAATTCAGAACGTTGAGTCTTGCATCTGTACAAAGTCCTTGCCAGACTGCTTAGACAATAAATTACAAAATACATCATTTTGAAAGCTGAAACTGGTATTTGTCAGAATATTGGACATTTTTTGGTTATCCATTGTGCATACAATAAATTAATAACTGTGGCAAATTTCTCTGTTTGGTTTGGGTTACCTTTTTGTAAAGGAAAGCTTTAATAATCAGTGCTATCATCAACATTTTTACGTTTGACAAAATGTGTCACCTTTGTATTTAAGAAAGTTAGAAAAAAAGTTTTAATACAATATTGTTATAATGAGACAGCCTTAAGATTTCAAAAGGGTACAGATAGAAAAAAGTAGGCCTTATGATTTTTTTAAAATACTTAATTGTAAATGAAACGTTAGCCCAATGTATTATTGTATTACCTTATAAAAGTTACCTCTGGTCTTACCCAAACCTGTGTCCAGTTTTGCACACTTTGTCCATAGAGATGAGATAATGAAGGCTGTTTCAAACTTATATTTTTACTTGATACTTACCTTGAAATAGTTGCTACAGATCTGATTGGAAATCTTTCACTGGAACAGTTTTTCCATCTGGGAAATAAAAAGACAGTTTTGTCTAGCAGAATTTATTACACTGTTAAGATATCAATCAAAATACCTGTAGGACAACCATTTGGAAATGCAAAATTCATTTAGAAAAAAAATCTTTTTTTAGACTATTCTAAAGTTGAGGCAATCAAATTTGAAACAAATTTCAAAATGTAAAAAAATGGGTTTTTACATTATTTTGTGGCATATCAGTAATAGATACTGGCGTATAATTGTAACAGTCTGATATTTTCTAAAATTATTAAAGGCAGCTGCTGCTTAGTATTAATTGGAACATCTTTTTTAGATCATTTCATTACAAAGAGAACAGTTTTGATTGGAACTTATCTTTTCTAGATCAAAATAAGTAGTAGCTGTCTTCAATAGTTAACATAGACTATTTTTTATTTCAATTTTCTACAATGAATGTTTCTTTTGAATGTGTTTTATAGTAAGCTTTAATTTAAGAAGTGTTTGTTCTGATTCAAAATGTCAAAAAAAAATTAAAATTCCCTGTGAAATGAAAACTCCCAAGTTTTGATTATCCATAGTATCATATCCACTAAACACAACCACTATGTTCTCAGACCCAGCAGTAACCTAACAGAATTAATACACATATTGGTGTCTTATCTATGTAAAATGGATTGAAGTATGTTTAAATTATTTTCTTAAATCATGCTACATACCTTTGGGAGTCAGGTATCATACTTACAACAGGATTTTCTCTAGCATGCACAAGACAGGCCAAACAGGTTTTAACTGTTTTATAACAGGGTCTGGAACATACCATTTGTATAAATCTACCATAAATGGTACATATAGGTCAGATATAGGGCTTTCTCCTGCCCCCTGGTTATTCTGACTTATCAACATGCATACATGAATTAGGAGGGTTTAGGATTTCTGCATTTTATGACTGATTTCATGTGGTCCTTTTATCAGGAGTACCTTATGCAATAATGCTATTTAGTAGGCACTTGAATTTCTTGTCACTGTTTGAATAGGGTAATGAATTCTGGCTATATGATGTGATTTTTTTAATTAATAGGAAGATAGTAATTACTATTGAGCAGCTACATTTTCATTTTATTGGTGGAAAGTGTGTAATAACAGCATGGCTCAAGACCAGCCCTTGTCTAAGAATGCCCTGTGTAGGTCAAGTCTCAAGTTACTCATTTCTAAAAAGGAGACTGCCTTGATAGAATATATCCATCACTACCTACCCTCTAACAAAAATAATAGCTCACTCAAATTTATCAACTTTATTTCAATCCTACTCCTGTTTTTGGAGACAAGGCAACATTTAGCTTCTTTTGTTGGAGCATCTTCTCTTTTGAGTTTCTTCATCCTTTATAGGCCTTAACCATGTAGGGAATTCTTCATTGGTAGAACCCTGTGCTGCCTCACTAAAGCAATGGGGCTAAACAAAGACAATACAGGCCCTCTTTTCCATAGCTCATTGCATGATCAGTGATAAAGCTGCCGGTTTCTACAGTATGTACCTTATTAGCTACATTCTTAGTAATTTATTCATGCATAACACATGCCTGGAAAGCTACATAAGAATATGGCCTCAAAAAAATCAGCATAAAAACAGTTTAAGTATCTCTTTCTGTTACTGTTCAGTAACTGCATAGCTGGGTCTAAAACAACAAACCAAACTCCTGCTAAAAAAATACTATATTTAGTACCAGAAGATGCTGCACTAAATTCTTATGGAAACAGTTATCGAATGTACTGTATAACATCTACTGGCATTCATGTTTTTAAATAGAAATGTTAACATTTTTACCCCAAAGTGACTGAAAATAAAGAATATTTTTGTAAATGATAGGTATCAATTAACATTGGCAATTTGCATTTATTAGATGGTTGATGTAAAGAATAACCACAATGAAGAGGGGATATGTTATTAATTACCTTTCCTGTTGCTGTGAGTGACGGACTTAATCAGACTAGAATTAAGCTGGATGTCAATGATTTTGAAAATCTCATCTCCACGACATTACCTCCAAAGGATCCTCAGAGATTGATTTGGTCTTGGAAACCATTCCAGTTCATCTGAAGAAAATTATAACAAGCCACAGCGTGATTTGTCTTAGTACTGACCCAAGTCACTCCTGACATTCACACACAGGAGGACTCTCAGTAGCAAACCACCACTTTCCTCTATTGTACTCTTTTTAAAGAGAAAAAGCACAATAGTTGTTTGTGTGATAATATACAAATATGGATAAAACTACATCAACTGTTCCTCTAGTTATCTGTTCCCCTATCAGTGATGCCTTATGAGCAGGAATCCAGATTTCCCATTCACCAAGGAAAAACATCATAAAACCTGGATTTTCCTCTTTAAAGGAGAAAAGTGTGGGAAATGATGGGCTTCCCCTTGCAGGCTGGAAGAGTTCCAGCCTGCAAGAGGCTGGGGGGAGTGGGAAGAAGGCGGTCAGGCAGGGGGCGCCATGTGCATGTACACATACACATGGCTGCCAGGCGAGCAGCTCCCACAGGTCAATCTGGTGGGGGGCGGAGAGGTGGGTGGACTTGAGGCTCCCATTGTAAGGGAGGGAGGGAGTTGGACAGGGCTAGGGTTTCTTTCCAGCAGGGCAGGGAGCAGGACAGAGCTGGGGGTAGCAGTGGGGACTGGCTTTCTGCCACTGCGTGTACTCCTGTGGGGGCAAGGGGAAGAACATGTCCCCCAGATTTGTGCACAGGGTGGGGGCAGCTGTGGGCTTATGCTCCCTACTCTGCTGCCTTCCTACCCAGTGCAGCAGGGCAGAGAAGAAGTGCAGTGCTGCCACCGCAAGCCTCACGCCACCATAGCAAGGTGCCCAACCAGCAGCAGCAGGGGCGACGGGATGGAGTTGTGCCCCTCACTGCTGCTGGGTGGGCAGAGGGCACCTTGTCATGGTAGTTTGGAGCTTGCACAAGCAACGAGCTTCCCCACCCAGCCCCACTCTGCCCTGCCATGCCGGGGCCCACCTGCTGGGTTGAGGAGGCCCTGTGGGGAGGGCAGCAGGGTGGGGAGCTCGAGCCCGCAGCGGGCAGCCCGCACCTGTTCCCCTAACAGGCTCTGCTCCATCCATGATGCCCATGGGGGAGGGGGAGCCGGGATCTGCACTCTGCTCTGCCATAGCATCTTCCACCTCCTGCTGGCAACAGCCAGGGCTTGGATGCAGCTGCAGGGGGCAAGGAACTTTGCACCCAGGTCCCTGGCCCATAACCCTGGCAGCTGGGGGCCCCCTCCAGCAGGGCAGGGGGCACCAGCAGGCCCAGGGGGGTGTGGATGGGGAGTGAGGGGCCTGGACCTGTGTCCTGGTGAGCAAAGGGAGCTGTGATTTTCCATGATAAAAAACCCTAAATCAAACACCAACATTTATAGGTATTTAGAATTTATTTCATTGTAGTGATTGAGGCACTGGTAGGCTTCCAAATTGCTTTAAAATTGTAAATATATCAATAAAGCATTGCGTTTAGCTGATACCTATATACATATGTATAATATTTGTGACATTTCATGTTAATCATGGGTTTTGAGGGTTTTAAATCAGAGAATTTGCAGATTTTTAAACAGAGAAAACCAGGATTCCTGTTTATGAGACCTTGAGCTTCATCCTAAAGCATGAGTTAACTGCAATTAATTGACAGCCCTAGTTTCACCCAATGTTGCATTCTTCCTTTGCAATCTCTAATCAATACTTTTTCCTCTCTGCTCCTGATAAGCATCATCCTGCCCCATATCTGTCCATAAACTACCAGAGAACAAGAGCATACATCAGTGGTCTTTTCATTCTCGAGGCACTCCCCTGTGAGACTGAAGGAACCCCTCGTTAGACTTGAAGCTCTCAGAAAATGCCAACTCAGTTTTTGCTCAATTTTTTACGATAGAAAACATAGAGGAATTCTTCTATTACAAAGAACTCAGAAAGGCCAAAGCAGAACACAACATGAATTTCCATTTGAAATCTCTGGGTTTAGCTTGTGAATCATGTTTTCACACCTAACAGTGTTAACTACATAGGGTGCAACACCCTATTTGAGAATCACTGGCATATATCAACATGTGCTGGCACTGGTGCTCCACAGATCTTTTGTCTAACAGATAAGACACTCTGCAAATCAGGGCTCCTAATTTGTACAATTACTCTTAAGCATTATTCTATTTAAAATGTTAATTCGATAGCCAGACTAAGTAAAAGTCCTCAAAGGATCAGACTAAACACTTTTTATAAACAACTTCTTGGTATCATATGTCCTAAGGGGATGCTGAAGCTCATAATGTTACAGACTGGTAACAGACTTTCTTTTTAGAAATGTTTGTCATTGATTAATTTCACCACTTAATTAATTTCACAACATCCATATGCCAAAACAACATAAACTATGCCAAATCTTTCTTTAATATTTTCATTATGTTTCTCAAGATGAAGGGTCATTACTTGTTAACTGATACCCACCTGGATTTCACCAAAACCATGTGTCTCAGTCATCTCTCTATTTATTACTCCTGTAGGCAGGAAAGTTAGACAGTTCACCGTACAATTCCTTTGCTTATTACATCACATTCTCCATTACCTATGTCACCCCTGTGTACTGTAGTCACACATGGCTTTTCATTGTAGGCTCTCCACACTAAAAAGAGTCAAAACCCAGTTCAGAATGAGAAAGATAACACTTGCACATGGGGAAGCTCAATTTTCCTTGCAGTAGTTTTTAAAATATTTTTTGTCTGAGTGACAAACAGAATGGGTTAGGAACTGCATAAGACCCTACTATGCTGGTCTACTCCATCATCATTTCAATATATAAATCTAGGTACTGTAGATATTAAGCTACCAGGAGGAGAAAATGTCCACTGCCATAATGTGAGAACCGTGCTGCTCTTCCAAATTTGAAGGAGTTATCACTGCCTGCAGGTGGGTTGTTCTTCGGCAGGTAACCCACAATAAGAGATGCTCCAGCAGTTTGCTAGTTTTTGTCCATTTGTTCTTTTTCTAATCTGACACCTTTTTTAAGTTTGACCATTGTGTAAAGAAGTTTCAGGTTATAAATTACGCTAGTCCTGGTATGTGCCATGGCTTGTGGGCAAACTACACAGTGGGTCTCCTCTGAGTAAACCTTTCTGGTGAAGAGGCCTGGCTTCCTGTACTGCTTCACCATGCTAGGACTACATTTCTGGCTGCTTCCATTTCCTTGTTTCATTAACCCAATAGGCCAAACTATTTGACATCTACATGTCACCTTCCTTTGGGACACTGAGACGAAATGAGTTTACAAGAGCACAAACAGCCTCTTTCCATCAAAGCATTGCTCGCTCCTGCACCCAAAGGTCTGTAGTAGGCTTATACGAAGCGGCTGGTATTTGCTTTGGATTTAGCTGATTTGGGGGAGAGCGATTTGATTTCGCGATTCGAATCACTGTCCTGAATCGATTCAGCCGAATCTGATTCGGAGATTCAGCAGCTGCTGAATCAGTTGAATCTCCGAATCGCACAGGCCCATCCCCTGCCCACTCTCCCAGCCCCGCAATGGCTGCCCTGCCTGCCCCAGCTCCCAGCACTTGGGGAAAAAAAAGTCCACACTCACCGGGTGCTGCCAGGGGGGCGGGGGGGGTGATCTGTGGTGCCCCCACTGCCCCATGCTGCATGGCGGGCTCTGCCATGAGCCCCCCAGCCCCCCACAAGGCTGCCCTGCCTGCCCCAGCTCCGGCCCTTTAAGGAAACCCCGCCCAGGTGCACCAGCTCCTGCCCAGTGGGAGGCGATCCCCATTGTCCTGCACTGTGTGGGGAGCTCTGCCACGAGCCCCCAG